GAAACAACCATTACAGCCACAAAATGGACATTCTCAATCTACAAGGTTACAAAATGGACTAAATGATTTTCTTTCTTTTCAGAACATTCAGAATTCAGTTGTGACCAGAACGTGGAAATACAACCATATTAGTCCAGTGCTCAGGTCTGCACTGGCTTCTTGTCACAGAAAACAAACTTTAAAACAGCTCTGCTGGTGTACAAGTCTCTTCATGATCTAGTCCTGAAGTACATGTCTGACAATGTTTGGTGTAAATGTGGCCAGGTGACATAAAAACTCAACTGATCTGTTAGATTAATCTGAAATTATATTCTCTTAATGACACTGTGCTGCAACCTCAAAATTTGATTAGTCATTTTATTTCCTTTTAGGATTTCCCAGAGTGATTAGGTACCTACGTCACTTCAGGATGACCCCTGAGAGGACCTGTGATAGACCTGTGGCTTGTGTTGTTCTTCACAAAACTTGACGCTATTAGGGGAGAATATCACCCTGTCCTACAATCTGAAGACCCTGATGAGGACTCCCTCCACCTGCCAGCTATCCAGGATGGAGAGTAGTGAGAGACACCGTCTGCCAGGGTCATTTCTCACTTTCAAAATCTGACTGTCAAAGTCAAGTGTTTCCTCTGGAGCCGTTTCATGAACACTGTTGTGGAAATGATATTATAAAGCAAAAGTCTGAGTCCATCTGAGGAAGTAAGAAATAGAAATGTATTAAAAGGGAAAAAAGGGAAAGGGAAAACTTCGTGAAGTGAGAGCAGCCAGCACGACCATACAAGTGGTTCCGTACCAAAGTGCCCCAAAGTAAAACAAATCATGGTGCATTTTATACCCCTCTAAGTCTGAAAATAAGATGTAAAGTATGTCCTTCATTCAGCACCTGTATTAAACAATCCTCCAGACAAAACATTAAGAGATAAAGTACAAGGAGGCCCTCTCTGAGACCTAGAAGGAGGAATGAGTCCTTTGATGTTGATGAGAAAGAAAAATAACCTATAAAATATTCCCTTGTGGAACGTTACCAGAGAGAAATTAAGAAAGTGATTATACATATATTGATTTCCCTAACACTATCCTGTAGTGATTGAAGTTCATCAGAGAAAAGGGATTCTGTCCTGATACTTCTGAAAAGACAGAGGGATCAGTCTTAGCTCCTAACTACACCTGGGGGAGTGTTAACAAACAGGACGCAGGGCCAAAGCGACAGTGATGAATTTGCTTTGTGGAGGTTAATTTGTCATCCAAGACTGCAATCAGAAAAGAGAAAATCTTTGGGAAAAAGAAACCGTGCACAGTTATGTGATGGTTGCTTTGTTGTTGTTTTTTTGCAGGACTTTGCTTCTTCTACAAACAAGTGTCTGTGCATTTCTTTTTTCCTTTTAAGAAAACAGGATGCAAAGTTCAATCCAACGCATACTTAATGCATTGGCCACGAATCAAACCCAGGTCAACTGCTTGGCAAGCAGCTATGCTCTCCACTACCACCAATGCCTCTCCAGTGGCCTTAATGGCACAAATGATCACAGTAGTAATACAATAATAATGTTACTCAAGTTGACATAAGTCTGCATTTGTGCTGTTCCCCATCATGGGCCGATGCCTACGTTGTTCAGAAGGATGGAAGACAAATGAGCAACAAGTGGCGTGATCAGTGATTGTGAACAGAGAATGATGTGGGCCTTTAAACAGGAGAATGGTACAGAAATTCTCTGAAGCAGTTCAACACTGACTGAACTTACATTATTGATGCTTGTGTAATTCTTCAACAAACAAGAACTACCTCCTGGCAGAGGGTTGTTGTTCTTTAATATACCGTGCTGATGCTTCTAGTTGTAAACTTCATGTAACGTCTGTAGTTTGAACTTCAAGGCTGCCTTTTTCCCGGTTTTAAACATTTGGAACCTCCAACTGACCTTCCCTGTATCAATAATCAGTGCTGGACAAACACTGTTATTAGAGAGTAAAGCTGAAATAGAACAGAAACTCTGCAACACCAGCTGTCAGGAGTGGGAACACACAGCACTTTGGACACAACTAAATTCCTTCTTACATCTCTTTGCTGTCCTGCTTTTTTGGAGGCTCATGGTCTTCCAGAGTTCCTGGTCTTCCACTTCTGACTGTTTTCTGCTTGTGCTTGGGGATACAGACAATTCTATCACCCTGCACAGTGTCTGTCACTGCAATCAGCTCTATTTTATAGAAAAAACAAGTTGTCAGAAAGCTTTTTTGTTGTGGTGGTCATCACATTCGCCTCGCATATCCCAGGCAGAAACAAGCTGTTATTTTGCTACACACGAATCCATAGAGCACATATTCAAATATGCTCATACTGGATACAAATGTAAGTTTTACACTTCTATTCAATTACATTTTATAAATCACCGGTGCTGATGCAAAAAGGGTTACAACCAATATCAACAACACGTAAGCTGCTCCATAGCTCCCTGATGATCTAATGGCTAGGGTTTGGTGCTCTCACTGCAATGGTCTGGGTTTGATAACCGGTGAGGGAAGAATTCTGACTTTGATACACTGTGACACAATCCTTTTTCTTTAACATCTCCCTGTGACTTTGAGGTATTTTGCGCGTTTGACCAAAATACTGTATTCAACTTAATCAAAGCTAAACTACAATCTGAACGTAAGAGCTGCACGGGACCGTTTTTATGATGTTTTGTATCATAACTTAATCCGTGCGGCTCTATAAGCTCAGAACAGCCCTGCTGATGGCAGAACTGCCCTCTTCATGCATCAGCGAGAGGAAGATCCAAGTATTCGTAAATCCTTACAGACAAGTCCCATTATAAAAGGGTGACACACAGGTCTGAAAAGAGGACCAGAGAATGAAAGGTAAGTGGAAGCTTATCCATCCATTATCATTACCGCTTGTTCCCTAATGGGGTCTCGGGTGGAACTGGGGCCTATCCCAGTGGTCAACGCGTGAGAGGCAGGGTACACCCTGGACAGTCCGCCAGTCCATTGCAGGGTGTAAGTGGAAGCATTTTTCATGTATGAGATAATTGATCAAATCATAAGGAAAGACAAGAAAAGTTTATTTGTACAGCAAATCAGCCTCTGGTCAGTTATGTTGTGTCTGGAGTTAAGAGGCTGCTAAAGGCAGTTCTGGGAAAACTGGAACATCTGATGGACAGAAAGATTTTCTGTTTGAATCCAGCAGCTAAGGGAACACAGGAGGAGGAAAATGTGAAGTGAAGAAGCTTTCTTTGTGAACAATGGATGTTATGCTTAATATCAAATGGTTAAATGTCCCACTGCTCTTCTTTATGAACTGTGGGAATGTCGGCAACCTCAACTGGGACATTGTGTTCTCTCTTCGAGCCATCTAGCCATTTCCCACAATCCATGGGCCCAGCCAATGTGAGGGCTAGTGGCGCAATGGATAACGCGTCTGACTACGGATCAGAAGATTCTAGGTTCCACTCCTAGCTAGCTCGACAGGCTTTTATCTCCCAATGCCATGCTGATTCTTTGGATTGGCAACCATTGAACAAGTTTACCTGCCTATCGTCACCCGAGCTCACAATGGAATTCAGCCAATGAAGGTGAAGCCTAACTTGGAGCGTATTAATCACTTTATCATTCTAATTAACACATGCAAAAAATGAGGCCAGTTCAGAATAGCTGAAAAATGACACATCCAATATAGAGGGTAAATTGACTGCCCCTCTGGTGAAACTCTAACTCAGGGGTCACCAACCTTTTTTAAACTGAGAGATACTTCATGGGTACTGAGTCATGCAAAGAGCTACAAGTTTGATAAACCTCTGAAATAACAAATCTGCTCAGTTTGCCTCTTAATGATATATTGTTAATGATTGATGATACTCAGCTCTTTAAATATAACATGTTCATAATTTCCCACAATTATCAGCAAAGACAAAAGGGTGGGGAACAGATAAGAACTTTGTTCTAGTTATTATTACTATTTATCTATTTTCTGTGTGTGTGTGCATGGGTCTGATTGGAGTTTATACACAGAGTAAGAAGAATTGTGTTATAAAGACAAAAACATTCCCTGACCGGGAGTCGAACCCAGGCCATGGTGGTGAAAGCACCAAATCCTAGCCATTAGACCATCAGGGAGACTTTGTCCTAGAAAGAAGTTAATCAGTGTTTATGTTTATGTGATTTGAGAGAAGGAGGTTTAAAGCTTGTAGAGATTATCACCAATAAACAAACTTTCTGCTTTAGAGCTTTATGCAGACATGACAATAAACCTGTTTCTCAGTACTGTCATGATGCTTTGGAGCGGTCAGTACCAGAAAGAGTGAAACAGAGAGAACACAGTGAAAATTTTAATACAAAAAATATATAGTCAACAGCCAATTATAACCATTCATCAATCCATAATAAGAACAATGGCAATAAAGTTACCCAGGACTTCACAGTATGAATCTAGTTCATGATAAACTGAGTTCCCTGTACACTCTAAAGTGGTTCTAAGGTCAGAAAAACACAGTTTCTCATGGACTCTCAGTAATCGGATGTTCTCAGATGGTGGCTGGACTTCCAGGAGGCAGCAAAAACCCAGAGTGTAGTCAATGTGGCTTTTCTTCTCATGGACCAAGCAGTGTGGTGCTTTGTCTTTTTTTCCACTTTTGCTCAAGATTCACCGACCAAAGTTTAGCCTGTGTTAGGATATTGAACTGGGAGGATACATCTGATAGGAGAATAGGAATCATCCCTTCGACTCCAGTCCTATTTTACTTTAATGATGATTTTATTGGTCAAACATTTGACCAGTTTACATGAGAGCCTTTCAGTGGTGTGTATGAAAGAGCATTTCACCAGTTTATATGAATAGTTCTCACTACTTTGTATAAGAGCTTTTGAGTAGGTTATAAAAGAGGTACATTTTTTCAATAGTTTATGTGAGAGCTTTTCACTAGTGTTTGTTTAATTTAATACCTACCTCAACGGTCACGTGACGTGAGAGGAGGGTTTATTTTAAAGTACCGGCGGCCATCTTTTCTAGCGCATCAAGAAGAGAACGAGAAAAAAAGGTACCAAAACTTTACTAATACTCATAAAAACACTACCGTAAAAAACAAACTAATAAACGATTTAATCCCTGTTCTGACAAGAATTGACCAAAGCAAACTGCCGGGCAAATACAAGGTCTGGTGTTACCAATTCACACTCTACCAGAGACTGCTGTGGCCCCTAAAAATGAGTGAGATCCCCTCATCAACCGTGAGTAAGATGGATATGAAAGCCAACTCATTCATCCGAAAGTGGTTGGGGCTGCCACGTTGCATCTCTGAAGCCGGCCTGTTTGGGAGGAACATGCTCCAGCTACCTCTAAGATCGCTACAGCTGGGCTACAAGCAAAAAAAGACCAGGTTGGTGCTCGAGCTTCGGGAGTCCACAGATGAGTCGGTTAGGAATGCTAACGCCAGGGTCCTGACTGGCCGCAAGTGGAATGCCCAGACCGAGGTCGACCAAGCTGTAAGCCAGCTGCAGCACAAGGAGATTGTGGGCAGAGTGCAGGTAGGAATAGCAGGCCTAGGATGGGGAGAAGCACCACGCTTCTGGTCCAAGGCCCACCGCAAGGAAAGAAAGGAAATGGTGGTGGCGGAGGTGACGAGGATGGAGGAAGACCGCTATAAGATCAAGGCTGTGTCTCAGGGACGGCAAGGAAACTGGACAACCTGGGAGGGAATCTCAACCAGGAACATCAGTTGGTCAGACTTGTGGAAGATCCCACAGGCAAGACTCAGCTTCCTTATCCGCTCAACAAATGACACGCTTGCCTGTCCTCGGAACCTCCACCAGTGGTTCGGAAATGAGGAATGTTGTGCACTCTGCAATGCTCCCAATGCAAGCCTCCAGCACATCTTGTCAGGCTGCAAAGTGGCCCTCTCACAGGGCCACTATAGATGGCGCCATGACCAGGTCTTGAGAAAGCTGGCCGAAGTGCTGGAGGAGTGCAGACAGGGTCGCAGAACACCAGGAAATGAGGAGAAGGTCCTCCGAAGGTGTGCATGTTGGTGGGAGAAAGTGACCACGTTTAGGGGAGTACGGATCCACCAGGGGAAAGCAAAGTGAGGACAGAATGGCTAGCAGCAACCTTGCACTGCAACAGCAGGTGAGACAAGAGGGTTCCAAAAGCCAGGGCAAAAAAACACAAAGCCAATGGACCCAATGTTGCTGAAGGCAGGGGGGTGACAGAGGAAGAAGGTCCATTGGTGGAGAACAAGTCCCCACGTGAGCATGAAGACCCAGTCCTCACCACGCCAGACAGAACAGAGCCAATCACAGAGACCAAAAAACCAGCCAGAAGGAACAAGATCAAGTGGCCAAAGTCTAGTGAAGCAGAGGCATGGCGTGTACTGGATGCAGACCTGATCAAGACCCTACAGGAGTCACTACGAGGAGGGGCAGTGGCCAAGCTGAATCGGATGGGGGACATCATATACCAGACCTGCAAGGACAGGTTTGGAGAGACCGTTCCCAGACAGAGGTCCATCCAAAGAGAGAAGGGAAGAGAAAGAAGGAAATCCTACAGCTGGTGCAAAGGCGTCGTCAACTGGGAAAGGCCACTCTTGCGGATGAAGAAGGGCTGAAAGCCCTATGGGAAGAGGTCAGGAAAAGACTGGCCATGCTACGCAGAGCTGAACGCATCCGGAAACGCAACAAGCGGAAGCAGAAAGAGCGAGCCAGCCTCTTCAAGGATCCCTTCAAGCATGCCAGACAGCTGCTGGAAGAAAAGAAGACTGGCAAGCTCGAAACTACCAGGGAGCAATTGGAAAAGCATGTCAGAAAGCAGTACAGCGATCCACAAAGGAATGTCCCCTTAGGAACACCAGGATACGTACCGCGGCCTGCAAATCCAACTGCTGAGCTAAACACCATGCCTCCCAAGCTCAGGGAGGTTAGGCAAGTTGTGGAGAAGGCGAGGTCTTCCTCTGCACCAGGCCCCAACAGAGTCCCCTACAGGCTCTATTAGAACTGCCCTAAGGTACTAGAGCTGCTATGGTACCTAATGAGAACTGTCTGGGAAAAAACAACTCATTCCGAGTGGTAAAGAGCAGTAGCGGTTTTCATTCCCAAGGAAACAAACTCCAAGGATATTGAGCAGTTCCGCAGCATTGCCCTGCTAAATGTAGAGGGAAAGCTCTTTTTCTCAGTGCTAGCCAGAAGGATGACGACCTACCTGCTCCAGAACAAATACATCGACACCAACTGCCAGAAGGCCGGGGTGCCAGGGTTCCCAGGGTGTGTGGAACACTCCACAATGATCTGGGACCAGATCCTGAGGGCTAAGCGGGACAAAACCGACTTGCACGTCATCTGGCTCGACCTGGCCAACACATATGGATCTGTCCCACACCAGCTGATCGTCTACGCCATGGAGTTCTTCCACATGCCCGCTTGCATCAGAAGCATGGTAGAGAGCTATTTTAACAATCTGCAGATATGCTTCTCTGCCCTGGACTTCACTACTGGATGGCTGCAGCTTGACTAAGACAGGTAAGCCAAGAAATGGAAAAAGGCCTTGGAGAGAATGGATGCTTGCCCCTTGCAGAACCGTACGAATGTGAAGGATCTGTTTGGGAGAAGCCTTCAGTGCTCCTGTGGGTTCCACAAGGTAAGTGAAACTATCTGTTTGCTGCTTTGTTTGTTTGTTTTTTCCTCTGGTGGGCTTTGGTGGTTTTGTAGGAATGCAAAGCCTGTTTGTTTGTTTTGTGCATGTCCAAATGCTGTAAACATTATTTTATTCATCATTCTATTTTAAGTCATGCTGAGTCACTGTGGCATATGGATTTATTTATTGTACAATATATATATGTACAGATCTGGAGAAGGCTAGATGTGTTTATAGTGCAAGTTTTTCTCCTTTTCTTTTTTTCTCTTTCACCCTTTCTTTCTTCTCTCTTTTTTTCCCCCGGCCAGGCAGTCTATTTTGCCCCATTTTGACTTCGTTTGAACCTGGTTCGGACTTGTTCAGACATTGTTCGGACCTTTTGTAATGTGTTAGGACCTCAGAGGCTGTCCAGTAACTGGCCACAACAACCCACAGCAGCAATTTGACCTGGTTCATTCCCTCCAGTAAAGAAAACTGCAGGAGAATCCCTTTACCTGTCCTACTCTACTCACTCAGAACATCAACCATAGACATCTTACATGCATTAAAAACCTCCATCGTGGGTGGACTTCCGGGTAATGGCGACCAGGTAGGCAGCATAAAACAGAGGC